GAGTATACGCCATCTTGGAATTTTTGTTGACGTCACCAAATATCCAGTTTTGGCTTATGCGCATGCGTTTTCATAACCATGAGCATAAGCTTCTCAAAACACAAATGGCAGCTTCAATTGCCCAGAATGCTAGCCAGAAATTAATCCCGTCTGGTAGTTGGCCCGTGTCAAACATTAGCCATTGTTACCAAGTAGGTAACTGACATCTGATAGCACTTCACACAGCTCAAGACCACAGACACTTTGGGATGGCTATGTTTGAGATTTTTATTAACAAGGTTACAAAGTCAGAAGTTATTCGTGTACTCAGCTAATCCTGATCAGTTGCTTAAATCAATTATTAATCTCTTGAACAAAATTGTTGAGATTACTGACATTTGAGACTCATTTGTGCTAAACGGCTTTAGAACTGATCGAAACCCTCTCTAGATAAGCGTCCTCTATTAGGTAAAATATTATAGTGTAAGTTAATGAGCCATTATAGGGGCAAAACCTCCCCATTCAAACAAAGATCACCTATCCAAGGCTTATTACATGTAGTCTGAAGGGAAAAAATTCAACTTTTGGCTAATTGGTGTCATACGAAAGGGGCATAAGACATTTTTTTTCCTCAGGATCTTTCTCGACCCCTGTGCGTTTATGCTGCACAGGAACGTCAAATGACATAATAGATAAGGAATCGATTATTGATATATGAGGAACAGGGCATGCGGCTACGTGTTTACTCCGGATATTGTCAACTACATAGAAATTTTCATTGTTCAATTTACGGAGAGGAATGGCAGGGGACGAGGATTGTCTGATATCATGAGTTGGCCGAAGGTTTTCTCGTAGCTATTTAAACTACATCCTTAAATATATTTACGAGCAAATTAAAGATATGATCCAATAAGTTCTTATGTTATTTCATCAGTAACTGCTTGAATAAGATATCCTGCTTCATCTTGTCCGGCATCCAAAAATAACAGAGTGCATTCAGTTGTTGGTTGATTTCAAGGTCCACACGGTTTCATTACTGATAACACACTAAAATGGCGAAACATAACAACATCTTAAAAAAAAGGAATAATTACTATTTTATCATGAATTAAGCCTCTAATTCTCAATAATGATCTAAAACTGAATTTCTCTTTATAATATTTACAAATTTCATTTGGAAAGGCAATAGTTTATGGGAGATCAAACCAATTATTAGATATGTATGAGAACAGGGCGGAAAATAGATATTTAAATTTTGAGTGTAAAATGGTTTAATCATCGCCGTCTTGTTCAACGTTTACGTTTTGGCTTGATTTTGGGTAATTTTAAAAGAGAACTGACTAATGCAGATTGCAAAAATTTGGTTCGTTCTCTCAAGTCTACACTCAAGATGTAAATATAAGTTCTTTACACTGTATGTCATACATCTGTTGTAATTGGTTCTGAGAACTTGGTTTGATATCCAGTCAATATAATGTTTTCCTTAATGATCATTCGCTTTCTGTTTGAACAAATATATGGATAATGAAATTGGTCTCTCCTGGGAGGTAAAAGTTCAATGGATGATGAAATGGTTAGGACCTCCTTTCATTTAAGATACTGTTCTGTTTTCCAATAATAGAATCGCGTAGCTACTGGAAACAACTAACACTGAATGCAATAAATCTGTAATCATGGGTTCTACATTTACCTATGGATGCTAAAAATAGTTTGAGTTTGATGTTGAATTTCGAATGCGACTGATAGCGAGGGAAACCATTAGTAGCCAACAAATAGAAGGCTATTATGCACTTATTTGCTGCAAGTGCACAAACTTTTTTGTACATATTGTTTGTATGCTCTAAAGTTTATCAATCTATGACAGTGTTTGTTTATAATAGCATTGATCATAATTCGGGGAAAGTTGGCTTCTACACGTATTGACATTGAGACGTGTGAAAACCAATTAAAACTCAACTGGTTTTGTCTGAAAGCTCTTGGCAAATCGACCTCATATAAGGAGGTTTTCACTTTTTTTCCATTTTTTAGATAAATTTATACCCGATGTTATTTATGGTCAATTGATCTAATTAGTCATTTTTCTCATCATTTATTCTCTTGGCTTGCGCTATAAATTGCCAACTAATGTCAATCTTTTTCTATTATTGGTACTTATGTTGGGAATTAGTGAATGCAAGAAAAGAGTTTGCATTTTTATCTTACCATCTGTTGTTAATTGGTGATTTCCGAAGGCTGTGTACATCTTTTGTTTGTTTGTTTTGTGAGTTGATGACTGCCACAGACTGTGTTGTATGTTTGCCATCCGGTGCATTTGCACTGAATGTCCTGTTGTTGGCTTGTTGTTTGCCTCTGATTTGAAAATAGAAATTGTGTCAAGACATTGCGAGTAAGACGTTGTTGATCGCTGATTCCTGCAACCAGCAACGTTCATGTTTCTTCTCCAAATTCCTCTTTGGCCCATGGATGGACTTTGAAGGGATTGATGAGACGAATCATAAGCACGGAACACCTCAAACTTCGCAAACAGCAAGCATAATATGCTACTAGTCAGACGTCCTCCATGTCCGATCACTCAGAAAGCTCCGCCAAAACATGACCTACCGAACCAATCAGCCGACCAATCAGCCAGTTAATATTATGTTTCCTTTAGAAATACAAAGCTATTGAAAACCCTAAATAATAACTCCTTCATATTGTTAGAGAGAAATCGCCCAAGACTCCTTGCTCGGTCTTGTTTTGACCACGAACGCCTTCTTAATTTTGACGGACCCGCTCGGGAAAAGGTGAGAATGACGAGGGAAAAACTTTACTTTGTAGTACGAAAATACACAAAATGGAAAGCCATGATATCATAGTTCAATATTTCGGTGGTACATTGTTAACTTTTTTTATACAGAGAGTTGGCAAGATGATCTAACATCCAAAATTGCACTCGATTTGAGTGGGCCGATGAAGTGGGCGTGGTCTCGAAATTCAGTAAGAGACTATTTGTACCACCGTGAGTTTGATATGACTACTTAAACATGGTGATTTGGGAACGAAGCTCCTTCAGAGATTGCCATTCAATAAAACCGAGTTTACTGATATATCACCTAGAAAAGCTCAAATTCCATGAACATCTCATGAAGTTTACGATTAAAGCTCTCACGATATATAGGCACTTAGATACGGAGCTACCCAAAATATTGCACCGTTTTTCCTCAAGCCAAGATTGTTACAGCGAAGGATCTCTTTGTTGTCAGATTAATATGGAGTTAAAAATTTCATTTGAACTGCTGTTGTGTCGCAGATCTGAACCGTTCCTGCTTTCTATGACATTTTGCCTTACAACTGGCATCTTAATGTTTAGAAGGTAGTTTGTTCTCCATTGGTCTGCAAGAGAGCGTAAGTCAGAACATGGTGTGATCAATTCGAGCAGTGACTCACATGGCGAAACTTATTCAATGATACAGAAATGAGCGAAAAAGGTTGCATTACGACGAAAAATACCACAAATACAAGTAAATCCTACAGAGATTCTGAAGGCATTGAGTGGTATTTTTACGTACCTTGTTTTTCAAGATATCCGGTGTTTCGTCGGGAAGATATGCGGGCCGGAACTGAAACACACCGAACTTCAAATGTTTTACCACTGAGTTGCACGCATAAGTTACACAGACCTCATATTTTCGTACACTTCTTATTGTTCTGCAGCAAGCCTCTATAGTTTTTGAAGGACAAGGAAACTTCTGAACGTAGAAATGAACTAAGAAGGGGACGTGTATCGCGTCTCTCAGAGTAGGCGCCATTTTGGACTTTTTTTTGACGTCACCAAATTGAATATCTAGCTTTATGCGCGTGCGTTGTCATATCCATGGACCTGAGCTTGACTGCTGGCCTGAAATTAACCCCACTCGGAAGTTGGCCCGTATTAAACAACAGCCATTGCTACTAAATTGGACTCGCCTTCCTTGATATCCGATAGTAGTTCAAACAGCTCCACGTTGAAATGGTTACGTCTGAATCTCTTATTAATAAGATTACAAATTCAGGGAAGCTATTCGTGCACTCAGCTAATCCTGGTCATCTGCTAGAATTTATGACTAATCTCCTGGACAAAATTGCTGAGATTATTGACATTTGAGACTCATTTGTACTAAACCAGTCTGGAACCGAAACGTCCTCTGGATAAGCGTCCCCTATTTAGTAAAGTATAATACTTTATGCAAATAAGATGTTTGAAAGGCAAAGCCTTCTCCATAAGATGAAGATCACGTAAGGCTTTAAGCGTTTAGACTCAAAAAAAGAAAACGCAGCCATTGACTCATTGGTGTCATACCAATTGGCCAATTAGAGAGAGGCGTTCGATAGTTTGTTTTCGCTTGATCTAATTCAACCCCCCGCGCGTTCATCTTGCACGGGAACGTCAAATGACGTAATAGATAAGTAATTGACAGTAGGTGTCTGAGGGGCAAGGCGTTCAGCTACGTGTTAACTTGGAATGAATTTAACTTCATCGAAATTTTCTTGGTTTAAGTTTCTGATAGAGAGGAGTGGCTCAAGGATAATCGTCGGTTTAGTCCTCACCGCCACTATGAAGTCATACATACATTAAGTAATTTCAATATGGCGGATGAATTTGTTATTCGTCATTTTCTGTGGAATTTGAAGTTTTCAACGATTTGGTTGGCTTGATTACCTTGAGATATTTAAGATTCAGACAATATAAAATAGTGTTTTTGAGTTTAAGTGAGGATAACCGCCTCCCGATTAGCTCAATTGGTTGAGCGCGGGCTGTTGTGCCGGCCGGACCAACACTCAAGGTCTTAAAATAACTGAGGAGAATGTGCTACCTTTCTATAACATAAAGAAATGGATAGACATTCTAGTCTTCTCGGATAAGGACGAATAAACCGTACGTCCCGTCTCCTGCATCTATTAGTTAATTTGGTTAGGCAGGGGACGCCTCCCGGTTAGCTCAATGGATAGAGCGCTGGACTGTTGTGCGGGAGGTCGAGGGTTCGAGCCCCGAACGGACCAACACTCAGGGTCTTAAAATAATTGAGAAGAACTTGCTGCCTTTCTATAACATTAACAAATGGTTAGATATTCTAGTCTTCTCGGATAGGGACGAATAAATGGAGGTCCCGTCTCTATATAAAAATAAATAAAAATAAAGACGTTAAAGGACCCACTCACGAGATTACTGTGATGTGGTCTGGCCTGTTTACGGGGAATTGGAGGGAGGGGTCATCTGTTAGATTCGCCTTTCATTGATTGTAAACTGCTTAGCAGTCTGGTAAAGTCCCCCGCGCAGTGTTGTAAAGCGCCATGAGCTCAGGATATTAGCGCTATATAAATAAAAGTTATTATTATTATTATTATTATTATTATTATTATTATTATAAGGATATCAAGAACTTTATATTTCGACCGAAACATACAGCTAAGAGGCTGATTCATCGGTTGTTCGATTGTTAATGTTTTGCCAGAGCACTAGGAGTTATTCGAAAATTTCCTGATATCGAAGTAGGAGATTGATGAGACAAATCGTAAGCACAAAAGGCTTGAAACTTCCCCAACACAAGCGTAATATATTTCCTATCAGACGTTCCAAATTCCTTAGTTAAGAAGAAGAAGAACGTGGAGAAGACCTTCTCCTGTTAATACGTGAAGTCACACTGGAAGTAATGAGCGGACACCGACAAATACTGGAAAACGATGGAGTCAGCCCTTTCCTTCTAGTTCTAAAGAGCTCTCCTCTTCCCTTGCCTTGAGAAAGGAGGTAGTCTCTGGGGACGAGTTGGCAGAACAATTTCTCATAGCATTTCCATAATATTTTTTGATACCTTAACAGGAAAATTAAAGATTTGATTTAGTGATGAATTTCATTGTCTTGAAATTATTCTGTTTCTGTATCAGTCATGGTCTAATTCAGAGATCCTACTTCAAAGTTATTTCAAAATATTGTCAGCACCCGGCCCATGCATGCACTTTATTACCATATTAACAATAATAACGGCATTCAGCGTTGGTTGATTATTTAATCATTGGAAAACTGACTATAAAATAGCAAATTACAACAGGCTAAAATCGCTACGGACTAAACACGGCTGCCAGAGGCGCCTGTCTGATTTCAACCTTAAAAAAATTGTAACTAAACAGGTATGTTGTTTAGAGAAATAGAGACCTTTACCTTTACCTAAAATCACGAGTGAGCAAAAAGATTTTTCCTTGCAACATCCATATGTATTTTGAAGCAGAAAGGCAATGAGAAGTATGAGAATCATCGACCAGATGTTATTGGATATTAAACGATGTTATCAGAAATCAAAATAATTAAAAACAAATTAACATATGTTACATATTGAGAATAAAATAGTTGGGTTTGACTGAATTTTGGGCAATTTTGTGAGTTCAACAGTACACTTTAGCCACGGACGCCCTTCAGTTCCAATAAAATACCTGGAGAGACTGTGCGCAGAATTTTGAAATAATTTATAAATCAAAATAATTAAAACAAAATTAATTGATGATTACATCTTGAGAATAAAATAGTTTAATCATTGCTCTCATGTTCATGTAATTGGCAGGTAAAGAATGTTTGGGTTTTTGGCTGAATTTGGGGTAATTTTATGGAGTTCAAGTGTGTTCTTCAGCTACGGACACCCTTCAGTTCCAATGAAATACCTGGAGAGACTGCGTGCAGAATGTTAAAATAATTTGTGTACTGTCTTCACAGTTCGTATTTCTTGACTTGAGAAAACAATTTCTCCTAGAATTGGCCAGAACCAAACGAATTATCCAACTAAGAGTAAAGTTTCTTGTACCATTTGCAGCATGAAGAGCAACCAAATACAAAATTTCAACCAATTGTCAAAATAACTCAGTTGTAATCACGGGGATATCTGTGCTCACTTTTTGAAGAGCATTTTTGAATAGCATCTGTCACAGAAACTTTTAATCTGCTGGTGGTGTTCAAAACTATTGACTTCTGTGATTCTGTTTACACTAAATACGACCTTTCTAATAGCCTTGATATACCAACGTCCAGCTCATTTCCTATTTTCATAAGATTCACAAAGTCTTTTGGGAATCTTATTGATTGCCAAAAACAATCATACAGGATTTATATTTGGTATTAAAATCACCAACTAAATTGGTGATTAAGTTTGATATTAAAGTGATTAAGTTTGGTATCAAAATCACCAACCAAGTTTCTACTGTCCCAACAGAGATAATGTTATATAACTGTGATCCCCGTTTCATAACTGGTAAGCCGCACAAGAAACGAAAATAAACACGTTCGCTGAAAGCTTTATTACATAACTAGTGTGGTCGTTTTCAAAAAAATAAAACATAACCGTAACAATAACTGTAAAATACTGAACATGAGACAAAAGAATGAAAGAATGGTACGACTTATATCTGTGGTAATTTTCTTTTTCCTGAGGTTAATTCTTCGCTCCAAGAATTCGATTATGTGTAAGCTCGTGTTACCTTCGAGGCACAATACAGCATCTATTTTTCGTCGGGAAATGTGTATTCTTGTTGTTGGAGAGGTTATCGGCTAATTACTTGGCTGTGTGAGACATTAATACTTGACTTTTCATGGTGGACCATTCCAATTGCTTTGAGTTCATTTGGGATTTGATTTGACTTCATATGGACACTTCAGCCGGTTTTCCTCGTGTTTCTTTCTGAGTTCGTGACCAACACGACCCGAAATTGCATGTATTTTCGATAAATTTCACGTATCCAAGGCGAAAAAGAATTCCCCACGCACGACATTATAGTTACCACTGCTCCTGAGCAAGAGTTTGAACTAAAGAAAAGCATTAGTGGTTGCACGTGGAAACATAATGACTTAGGGTGATCGTTTGTCCTTCTATAAATTATGTAATGCTTTGCTGAAATGCCTGCTCGTCTATTATCGTCTCTTTTCTTTTTTTCTTATTTACAAAATTCGCTTACTCATTTTCTATTTTCCTTTCTCTTTTTTAACAAACGTACTTTATTTTTCTTGCTGACAAAGCTAAGGGCGAAGAATTTAGTGAGGAGTTAACATAACTACTTCTTTTCAAAGAGAGAGCTGACTTATTTAAATTTAAAAATGTTCTTAAAAATTATTACTTTTAATGAACGTAATTGAAGTAAGGAAAATTTGATGACAAATGAATAGAATAAAAAAGTAAATCCTGGTTTTGTAGGCAATATAAAGTTTTGAAATACCAGGGTTTTGGGTTGTGAAATATGGTATTGTATTTCAAATAACATCAAGTAGCACTTGCATTTTCGCTTATAACTGAACGACAATCTCTTTTAGAAATTGTTACAAAAAGCGATGGAAATTGTTGAGCTTTAAAAGAAACCTTTTGGACACCGTGACTCATTGGTATTTATGTATTAGAGGAAATAGTTTTTTTTCAAAACGAGGCCAACACATATTCACTGGATGTGCGTGGTCACCGCTGTGCTTGTCTAAAGCTGTACAGTGTTACATAAGATCATGAGAGGAAATGAAGGTTCTTCAAATAGCTATAAGGGACAGGGCAAAATGTTTCTATTAAAAATCCTGATGGAAAGCAGAACAGCTTGTTACAAAGTGCGAGCCATTCTGCATGGTACTACTTTAATTAACAATTGGTTCATGCTTTAGCGTGTACTATCGAGTTATGGAGCACGCGGGAAGTTTGGCGAGCACGAAAGAAGCGTAAGAGTTCAAGTTCAAGTTCAAGTTCATTTATTTGTTTAAGCAGGTTGATTAATTGGCAGCTGTAATAGCTGATGTAGACCTGCAGTCCTAACCCACCCATCCCACCCCAGGGGAGCACATCCATCACACAGTAATCTCGTGTGTGGGAAATTAACGTCTCCTGCCCCAACCCTGCAGGAGACGGGACCTCCATTTATTCGTCCCTATCCGAGAAGACTAGAATATCTAACCATTTCTTGATGTTATAGAAAGGTAGCAAATTCTTCTCAA